GTGCGCAACAGGCGGGCGCCGGCGGAGCTCGGTGAGCGCTCGGTGAGCGAGCGGCCGCGGGCGGCGAGGGAGCGCCCGCCCGCCCGGGGCCGGGCATGTGCGGCGGGGCGACGGGCAGGGCGCCCGGACAAGGGCGTTTGAAGGAAACGTGAGGCGAGGCGGCGGCGGCGGGATGGAGGCGGCGCCGCGGAGAAGCCCCGAGCCGCGGGAGAAGCCGCCGGTGCTGGACGGGGAGGCGGCGGGGGCGCCCGCGGGGGCGTCGGGCGCGGCCCCGGCCTCGCCGGCGGCGGCGGAGCAGATCGTGGCGGAGGGCGAGGCGGCGGCGGCGGGCACGTTCGTGCAGCGGCAGCTCGGGGCGATGCTGCAGCCCGCCGTGAACAAGTTCTCGCTGCGCATGTTCGGCAGCCACCGGGCCGTGGAGATCGAGCGGCAGAGGGTGAAGTCGGCGGGCGCCTGGATTATCCATCCCTACAGCGACTTCAGGTGGGACCGGGGCCCCGCCACCCCCGCCCCGGCGCCGCCTCCCGGCGCCGGTCCCCGCTCCGGCTCCGCCGCTGTCCGTGGTGCTGAGCGCGGCCCCGCCGCCGTGGGGGCAACAAGTGCCGGTAGCCGGGGCTCCGCACCGGCCCGGGGAGGCGGCTGCCACCGGCGGAGCCCGGGGCCGCGCTGCCCCAGCCCGTTCCCGTCTGGGATTATCCCGCCCGCACGGACGGCTCTGTGCTGCCCCACACCCGCGGGCTCCCGGTGCTCCCGGTGCCCGGGGCAGCCCGGCTCCGCCGAGCCGCGGAGCTCCGCTGACCCGGCCCCGGGCGTGCGGAGGCGGGGGTTGCTGGGCTTTGCCTGCCCTTACGGCTCCCCCCGCCCTTCGCGATGCTGTTTTTAATTTGCTCAGGAGCCTTCATCCCCCTGGGACGCGGCTCCCCGCGGCTGGAGCGGGGCCGGTCACCCAGCGAGGAGCCGGGCCCGGCTCTCGGTGTCACCGGGATCACAGCGGGAGCTCGGGGATGGATGATGTGGGAGGAACTGGGTGTCACGGGGATGTTGAGTCATATAGGGTGGGCTTTCTCCGCGGGGAATGGAGCTGCCAGGCAGGCGTCTCCCGCAGCAGGCTGTGACATGGATGATGTCCCCAGCCTGGAGAACGGAGCCAGCACCCGCCGTGGCTCCCTGGCACCTGTGGCCGTCTCCCCTCACCACTGGGTCCACACCCCAGCATGACACCCAGCCCTGGGAGCCCTTTTTTCAGGGAAAGCATCCCAAAGTTTGTGAGCCTGGAGCTTGGCAGGGGCGGTTTCTGCAAGCAGCACCGTGCAGGGAGCTGGCAGGTAGACAGACAGGGGGATTACTCCGGTGTTTATCACATTAGGGAGATACATAAAGGCCGTGGAGATCAGGGCCCTGAGTGCTCAACCTGACACTCAGTGAAGGACAAGGCCTGTTCTAAAGAGCTTAAGCCTAAATCTGAAGCGAGAGCTCCAGGCAGGCTTGGGCAGCTGTGGGGACAGGCAGCTTCCCTGCTCAGCTTCTCAGGGCACAGCGTGGAGGTGCAGGAGGCAATTCCTCAGCCGGGTCAGGCTCCTTCTGCCTCATTTCCTTCCCTGGCCCAGCAAATCCTGGCCACAGGCAGGAAGGTGTTAATATGGGAGAGGCTCCTGGCCCTGGGGTGGGCTCCTCCAAGCCCTGGGGTCACCATAATCCTGGGGTGGGCTCCTCGAAGCCCCAGGGTCACTCCTGGCCCTGGGGTGGGCTCCTCAAAGCCCTGGGGTCACTCCTGGCCCTGGGTCATTTCTGGACCTGACCTTGGGGTGGCTCCTTGAGGAGAGGGTGCCTCCCCCTACTCCCCTCAGGCTCTGGAGCTCTCTCTGAAGGAGCCTCTCATGACAGCAGGACCTCCCTTCCCCTTCCCTTTCCCCTTCCCCTTCCTCTGCCCTTTCCCTTTCCCCTTCCCCTTCCCTTTCCCCTTCCTCTTCCCATTCCCCTTCTCCTTCCCTTCCCAGCAGCAGAGATCCCAGTATCCGTGTCCCACCATGAGTGTGGGGTAGGAAATCCCCACAGGCTTCTGCCACCTGTAAAAGCTGGTTTGGATTCACTGGGCACTGAGAGCTGCCCTGAAATCAGCTTTGGAGATTTGAGCCTACACCCACAGCCAGGGCTGGGACGAACTGGGGATGCCTGGGGACACCTAAAGCTGGACTTGCTTTCCCAAGGGCTCTGAAGGCTCTGATGGGGGATCCCAGGAGTCACAAGGCTGCTGGAGAAAGTGGTGATGTGTCTGTGTGAAGAATTAAAACATCCCGGTGGCACTTGCATGTGACAGGGCTGCTGGCTGTCCTGACATAACCAGCTGGCTGTCCTGACATAACCAGCATCTCTTGGCTTTCCCTCCAAAGCCTCTGAGCCTGCCCACTCCCAGCTAAAGGAGGTGGATGAGGAGTGCCCTCACCCTGCCCTGTGCATGCTGGCACCTCCTGTAGGGTTGGACCTTCCTCCCACCTTCCCCTGGCACCAGCACTGTCTCTCCTTGCTTGGCTGCTGCCTGGCTCACCACCACAGCCTCCCTGATCCTTTTCTGCTGCCCCAGGAGCTCGGCTCTCCGTTTGCATAACCAGCAAAGCTTATCCCAAATCCTGCTAAGCCACCTCGGGTGGTGGCAGGGAGACAGCAGATGACAAGGAGCCTCAAGGGAGCAAAGCCCACATCCTCTCGGAGATCTCCAGGGGGCACGTGGCAGCTTTGGGGTGGGGGCAGAGGTGTGCATGCACTGCCCTGCAGTGGAGAGAGAGACAGCCAAGCTCCTACACCCCCATTCCCACACAGGGTGACTTCTGCACCTCATTTTTGCTCACATCTGTCCCAGCTGAGCAGCAGGCTGTTAGTGATGTGTGTGTGTCCTCTGCACGGTCAGACCCTGACTTTGATCCTGTTTGCTCTCTAACTGTGTCCTGCCTGTCCCGCTCCGGCCCCTGCATTCCCACCCTGCAGGTTTTACTGGGACCTCATCATGCTGCTCCTGATGGTGGGCAATTTGATCATCCTGCCCGTGGGCATCACCTTCTTCAAGGACGAGAACACCCCTCCCTGGATCGTTTTCAACGTGCTTTCGGACACTTTCTTCTTGGCTGACCTGGTGCTGAACTTCCGGACAGGCATCGTGGTGGAGGACAACACGGAGATCATCCTTGACCCTCACACCATCAAAATGAAGTACCTGAAGAGCTGGTTCCTGGTCGACTTCATCTCCTCCATCCCTGTCGACTACATTTTCCTCATCGTCGACCTGGAGACGCAGGTGGACTCTGATGTCTACAAGACGGCGCGGGCCCTGCGCATCGTGCGCTTCACCAAGATCCTCAGCCTGCTGCGCCTGCTGCGCCTCTCGCGCCTCATCCGCTACATCCACCAGTGGGAGGAGGTGAGTGTCTCCCCTCTGGGTGCCCTCCAGGAGCCCTGGCAAGCCCCGGGTCAGGAGACAACCGGGGGGCAGCCCCAAAGTGGCTGACAGCGCGGGGGACGCTCTCTGGTGGCCCGAGGGTACCCATGGCAGCTGGGCTGGTCACCTTTGCAGCAGGAGAGACACAGGAGACATCGGTAGAGGATGAAAGGCTGGCTCTCAGCAGGGAGCCAGTCCAAGGTTTGTTCGGAGCTCCTCAGGGAGCCCCACACCTCAGTGGTGCGCCGTGCTCAGAGTGAAACAAAAGGAATCTCAAGGTTACATTTAAAGGGGGGGAGGAAACCAAAGGCAGATACATTTGCTGATGTATATATAATAAGAGACCCTCTTATTACATATAATAATAATAATAACATACATATATATATTATATATAAATTATATATATTGTATATAAAACATACATATATATTATATATAAAATTATACATATAATTATAGATATATTATTATTATATATAATAATAATATATATATATCATAAAAGACCCTCCAGGGATGCAACCTTAGGGATGGACATTTGGGATAGCGTATAAAATATTACTTGAGGGGCTGCCCCCTGGTCTCAGACTAATCACTCGACGACTTGGACCAAAAGTTCTAGATAGAGGGGATGGGATACTGAGTGACTGGCAGAGAGCCAGGGCGGGGATTTGGGAATGATCTCAACCCAGGAGAATGATTACACAGGTAGAGGAAGGGGGTACAAAAAGGGGTACGCCATTTGGAGAAAAGAAGGGGATACAAAACCAAAACTATTACGAAGTGTTACAAAGTATAAAAGCACACTACAACAGTGAGAACCCCTCGGGGGTCTCCTTGGGGGTCCCCCAGCTGCAGGTACAGCTGTCTGGAGGGGCAGAGGGCTCCAAGGGCTGTTCTAGGAGGAGAGTTTCTCTGCAGCTCCTTCTCTCCTGCCCTAAAAACGCGAGTGTTCAAGCGCTGGGTGCTGCTGCCTGTCTCTTGTCCCCAGCAAGCCTCTCCTGTCGAAAAGCAGGCTGAGTTAACATTCAGGCAACGCAGTCAAACCTCCACTCAACACTCACCTCAGCTGGCTCGGAGATAGAGGCAAGAAAGGCTCTTTTGCAAGGTTTTATTCCAGCAGGGTAACACAGTCACCGAAGGACAAACCCATGGAAAAAGAGAATGAACCACGTGCAGCAGGCAGCTTATAAAGGGGAAGGGGTGGAGGGCAGAGCTAAGGGGTGGGCAGAGGGGCCTGCTACCAGGGGTAGGGGGGTGGCCACCAGGGGTACCAGGCCAGTGACAGGGGAAGGAGAAACCAGAGGAAGCTGTGACACCAAGTCCATGGGGAAGAGTGTTTTTCCCTTTGGGAGGGCTGACTCTATGGTAAGTGGTTAATTTTTCCAGGGCTGAGGGCTTGGGGATTGAGCAAGTGGGGAGAGTTCATGGGGTGCTACACTGCCCTGTTCCCCAGATCTTCCACATGACGTACGACCTGGCCAGCGCCGTGGTGAGGATCTTCAACCTCATCGGGATGATGCTGCTGCTGTGCCACTGGGATGGCTGCCTGCAGTTCCTGGTGCCCATGCTGCAGGACTTCCCTGAGGACTGCTGGGTCTCCAAGAACCACATGGTGGTGAGTGCCCAGACTGAGTGCCCAGACTGGGGTGGTTCCAGCTGGGATCTGCCGTGGTGGGGAGAGGGTTTGGTTCCCTGTCTCTCCACCTGGAGCTGCTGGGAGATGTGCTGGTGAGCATTGTCTCTGTGGTCACAGCAGTGAAATAGGGCAGAGGGAACCTTGCATCACCTTCCCATCTCAGCCCACCTTGGAGTGAGGGAATCCCTCAGGTTTCCTGAACAGGACACTGGGGCTCCTGCCTCCTCCCCAGAGCAGGGCCTGCTGCCTCTTTAGGCCTTCACAATCCTCTTCCTGGAGGAGAACTCATCCCTTTGGCCTTGGAGGAGCCTTCTTCTCACTGGACTCCCCAGCTCAGGGAGGTGGGACCGGGGTGTTCAGCTGCACAGCACCTTCCACCAAACCCTTCAGCCCCGCTCTCCCTCATGTGCAGAACAACTCGTGGGGCAAGCAGCCTGCCTCCTCCCCAGAGCAGGGCCTGCTGCCTCTTTAGGCCTTCACAATCCTCTTCCTGGAGGAGAACTCATCCCTTTGGCCTTGGAGGAGCCTTCTTCTCACTGGGTCTCTGGACTCCCCAGCTCAGGGAGGTGGGACCGGGGTGTTCAGCTGCACAGCACCTTCCACCAAACCCTTCAGCCCCGCTCTCCCTCATGTGCAGAACAACTCGTGGGGCAAGCAGTACTCCCACGCCCTGTTCAAGGCCATGAGCCACATGCTGTGCATCGGCTACGGGCAGCAGGCGCCCGAGGGCATGACCGACGTGTGGCTCACCATGCTCAGCATGATCGTGGGGGCCACCTGCTACGCCATGTTCATCGGCCACGCCACCGCCCTCATCCAGTCCCTGGACTCGTCCCGGCGCCAGTACCAGGAGAAGGTCAGTGGGGACACAGTCTCAGCCACATCAGGGAAGGGATAGGTTGGATATTAGGAGAAAATGTTTCACTGAAAGGGTAATAAAGTACTGGAATGCTCTTCCCAGGGAGGTGGTGGAATCACCATCTCTGGGGGTGTTTAGAAAAAGGCTGGACGTGGCACTTGGTGCTGTAGTCTAGATTCTGAGTTGAGGTGTCAGGGCATAGGTTGGACTCCATGATCTTCGAGGTCTCTTCCAACCTCACTATTCTGTGATTGTGTGGTTATTTCCCGTGGTTCTGCTGTGCTGGGCTCAGGCCAGGCTCTTCACAGGTGTGTCCTTTGTGTCCCTGGGCAGGTGACTGTGTGTACCTGATGAGAGGCATGGCACTTGGTGCTGTAGTCGAGTTGAGGTGTTAGGGCATAGGTTGGACTCCATGATCTTCAAGATCTCTTCCAACCTCATTATTCTGTGGGTGGAGAAGAGAGGGCCGGGGTGCTGGGGGAAGAGTCCTGGCATGAGTGGGTCCAGCTCCAGAAGCAGCTCAGCACAGCTGCTGTGCCCTACTGATTCCAGAGGCTGGCATCTTTGTCCTTGCCACTCTCCCTCGGGGTGTGGAGCTCAGGCTGCCCACTGAGAGTGGGACCATACTGGTGTCCATACTGGGGGTCACTTGTGCACAGCGTGGCCCCACCCTGCCCTCTGCCCTGGCTCCAGCTGCATCCTGAGTGCACGGGTGTCCTTTACCCCCTTTGGGCACTGCAGCAGGGCTGTCTGTATGTACACACTGAGGAGAAGGGACACATCATGCGGCCACGCGGGCGGTGCCAGCCGAGCCCTGTGTGACTCCCCTTGTCCCCACAGTACAAGCAGGTGGAGCAGTACATGTCATTCCACAAGCTGCCTGGGGACACGCGCCAGCGCATCCACGAGTACTACGAGCACCGCTACCAGGGCAAGATGTTTGACGAGGAGAACATCCTGGGGGAGCTCAGCGAGCCCCTCAAAGAGGTGAGGGCAACCCTCCCCTGCTGTGACCTGCAGGGCAGGGGCTGGTGCTGGCAGGGGCCAGGCTCGGTGATTCCCCACTTATTGAAACAGGATGACCCCTGTGTGGGGAGAAATGATGAGAAGGACTCTATCAGAAGGTTAATTAATTTAATTATTATTTATACTGTATTATATTAATATAATATATATAATAATTTTATTACAATAATTTTATTATACTATTAAAATTTGTTATTAATTTATTTTATTATAATAATTTTATTATTTATACTATATTATATTAATATAATAATATATAATGATATTTTATTATAGTGTTGTTATAATATTTATAATTATTATAACTTTATTTTTATAATAATAATACTTTTCTTATTTTTATACTATATTACATTACATCTAAACTGAATTTGCCAAGTCCTCAACTTTGTACACAACTGCTCAATATCTCATGACTGTCATCTGACAGTCCTGACATATACACACACCTGGCCCTGACAGGCCGAGGAAACAAAACCCCATCACTTTGGGTAAACAATTTCCATATTGCATTCTACTTCAGCACAACACAGGCACAGCAAGTGGGGTAAGAATTGTTTTTCCTTTCTCTGAGGTTCAGAGAATGCGAAACCCAGAAATATTCTTGGGAAGAGTTGTGCCTTGCTTTTCTCTGTGGAGAGAAATGTGGCTACACCCACTGAGCTGCTCCTCACCCCGCAGGAAATCATCAACTTCAACTGCCGCAACCTGGTGGCCAACATGCCCCTGTTTGCCAACGCTGACCCCAACTTTGTGACAGCCATGCTGACCAAGCTGCGCTTCGAGGTCTTCCAGCCTGGGGACTTCATCATCCGCGAGGGCACCGTGGGCAAAAAGATGTACTTCATCCAGCACGGGGTGGTCAGCATCCTCACCAAGGGCAACAAGGAGACAAAGCTGTCTGATGGCTCCTACTTTGGGGGTGAGCTGGTGGGCAGAGTAGCGGGCAAAAGCTGCCTGCGAGTAGAAGCTGGGGCATCCCTAATGTTTCTGCCTGCTCATCTCCTCTTGCCCAGTGCCAAAGTCTTGGCATCCAGTCAAAGTGGCAAAGTCTTTACCCCAGTTCTGTCTGGCTGGGGCAGAGGGAGCACGGGCACAGGGAGCATCCACTGCTGGCCAGGGAGGAGAGGAGGTCAGAGCAGAACATCTGAGCCAGTTTACAGGATACAGGCACAGCTCTGGGAGGGAAACAGGCCAGGCCATCACAGCAGCCACACCTGGGGGTGTCTCCATGGCCTGGAGAGGGAGGAAAACGCTGTGCCTGGCCAAGGAGACAGGCTGTGGGGTCTGCCCCTGCCTCTGAGCCATGCTTTGTGCAGGGTTTTGGGGTGCTGGCAGCCCTGATCCTGCTCCAGGGCTGGGAGGGGGCTGGATGGCTGTGTCCCCCTGAGCCCAGCCCCGTGTCCCTGCAGAGATCTGCCTCCTGACGCGGGGCAGGCGCACGGCCAGCGTGAGAGCCGACACCTACTGCCGCCTGTACTCCCTGTCCGTGGACAACTTCAACGAGGTGCTGGAGGAGTACCCCATGATGCGCAGGGCCTTCGAGACCGTGGCCATGGACCGCCTGGACCGCATAGGTGAGGAGGAGTGAGCCCCTGGGGGCTCTACAGCCACCCCCAGGGCCCACAGGCCACCAGACCCACAGGTGATGGAGTCACAGAGCTGGGATGAGGTGATCACAGTGCCCTAGCCCTGTGGGTGTCCTCCTGGAGGACAGGCTGGAGTGACCCCATGGAGTGGGTCACCATGGAGTGAGCCCCTGGGCTCAGCACAGCCACCCCCAGGGCGCATGGGCCCACAAACACACAGGTGGTGGAGTCACAGAGCTGGGATGAGGTGATCACAGTGCCCTAGCCCTGTGGGTGTCCTCCTGGAGGACAGGCTGGAGTGACCCCATGGAGTGGGTCACCATGGAGTGAGCCCCTGGGCTCAGCACAGCCACCCCCAGGGCCCATGGGACACCAGACCCACAGGTGGTGGAGTCACGGAGCTGGCATGAGTGCCCCAGCCCCGTGGGTGCCCAGCAATGAGGATGATGAGGAGTATGAGGAAGGAGCCTGCCCTCTCTCTCCCCCTCAGCAAGATCCAGGCGGTGCCACAGGACAGGCTTCCCTGGGAAGATGTAACTGCACTGCACGGTACCTGCAGTGTTTGGCAGTGACCAGCTGCTTGTCCTCACCCTCCCTTGCCTGTGGAGGACAAGCAGGACCCCAGACCCCCATCCCTTTGGAGTCAGGACTCTCCTGTTTTGTCCCTGCTGCTTCCACTGCTCCAGTCTGGACCCTTCCCAGGGTCTTGCTTCCCCTGGAACTCCGAGGTTTTATTGTCCCTTCCCACTGCCACCCTGCCCTCCACACTGTCCCCAAGGGTCGGTGACACTCCTGCCTCCCCTCCAGGGAAGAAGAACTCCATCCTGCTCCGCAAGAGAGCCGAGCACAGCTCGGGACCCCTGAACAACGAGATGATCCAGCAGATCGTGAAGCACGACCAGGACATGGCCCACAACATCCAGGACCTGCAGCAGATGGCGATGGGCAGGGAGCTGAGCGGCAAGCCGGTGATTTGGGAGCCTCTGGTGCACGCCCCGCTGCAAACAGCCGCCGCCACCACCAACGTGGCCATCGCGCTGACCCACCAGCACAGCCTGCAGGCTCACATCTTCCTGCCGCCCTCCTCCATCTCCAGCCCGCTCTCTCCCGAAGCCACCCTGCTCACCAAGCCGGTGCGCCGCTCCCAGCCCAGCCTGGGGGGCTCCCGGCCCTCCTCCGTGAGCTCTCCCTCCGGGGCTCCGTCCCACCTGCACACGCCGGCCGCCGGTTCGCCTTCCTCGCCCATGGTCCAGCCCCAGGCGCCGCTGGAGAGCGGGGGCCAGAGACCCAGCCCGGGGGCGCAGCCCCTGCCCCGCACTGCGCAGAGGGGGGAGATGCCAGCGGGGCCCAAGCAGCCCCCGGGCGGCCCCCAGCCCCAGCTCTCCCGGTCCCGCGGCGCCTCGCTCTCCACCTCGCTGCTGCAGCAAGCGGCGGGCGCTGCGTCCCCCAGCTCGGAGCAGGCGCTGCCGCCGGGGAGAACGCTCCACTACAGCCTGTCCCGAGCCACCGGCTCCCACATCTCGCTCCTGATGCATCCCCAGCAGCTGGTGAAGCACAGGAGCATCCAGGGGCTGCCGGTGGGGCGGCTCACGCAGGATGTCCGGCTCCTCTCTGCCTCCCAGCCCTCCCTTCCCAACAAAGTGGCCCAGCAAGCCGACGGCAGCTCCTTGAAGCAGGGCAGGAAATCTGCAGGGAACCTGGCCCGCAGGTCCTCGCCCTCGGTAGCCGGACTGCTGGCCAAGCCGTGTGCGGGGATGCCCGGCCAGCCCGCACACCCTTCGGGAGCGCTGGCTCAGCCCGGCCGCTCCGCGGGAGCGCCCACGCCCCAGTCCCCGGGCTCCGCGTCCAGGCAGGCGGCAGGTCCCTCCCGCAAGGGCTCCGTGGCCTTCAGCCCCGAGGTGGAAACGGCGAAGCCCAAACTCCCGTCCAACATGTGAGTCCTGTCGGCAGCCGCGCGGGCAGGAGGGAGCCGGGCATCCCGGCGGCGCAGGAGGCGGGGAAGCAGAGCACCAGCCCCGCCGTGCGGGAGGGAAAATGAGGTGAGAGGCACCAGCCGGGGCCGTGGAGGGGCTGTTTGAGGCACGGGGACACGGCAGGGATGGGCATGCGCCAGCCCCAGAGCTGGCCCAGCTGGATGAGGAGGGGGGCTCTGCTGACTGCCCCAAGGGGGTCACCCTGCCCGGGCTCTGCCCTCCTGGCTCATCACCATCTGTGAGTTCTGCCCTCCTGCCGGAGGCACAGGACAGGTCAGAGCCCTCGCCCAAACTCTGGCCTCTCTGGGGAGCTCAGCTCCCCACAACTGCCCCTCGGGGGCTGGGCCCCCCACGCTCTGTGCCGCGTGTCCCACAGCCTGTCCTCGGGGCAGGCTGACGCTGGCAGCTCCTCCAGCTCGTCCTCTGTCACAGCAGGGGCTGCCCGATGCCCACCTCGATCCCCAGACTGCTCTGCCCAGCCCCTTTGCCTTTAGGGTGAGGAGGCAGAGGCACCCCCCGGGTCCTCTGCCCGGGTGGAGGGAGGAGGCTGGAGCCCGTGGCAGGGGCATGGCGGTCCGGGGTCAGCACTGCCCCTTCCCAGAGTGCCAGGACCACCAGGGCTCCTCTGGTGTGACGAGTGCCTAGGGGCAGCGCTGGGGGGCAGAGGAGCAGCCCCCCAGTCCCTCTCCCCAGCTTGTGGGACCGTTTTGCCTCAGAGGTGCTGAGTGCCAGTGAGGTTGGGATGTGCTGCTGGGCAGGGCTCTGCCCCACACCCGGGCACTGTGCCCCTCCACGGGCCCCCATGGGGGCAGCCTGGGGGGATTCTGCTGCCTGCAGCTCCAGGAGGATGCTCAGAGAGTCAGTCCAAGGGGACCCCCCTGTGGCTCCAGGATGATGTCCAGAAAATCATTTGGGATGACCCTTCTGTGGCTCCAGGAGGATGCTCAGAGGGTCACTCCAAGGGGACCCCACTGCCTGTGGCTCCAGGAGGATGCTCAGCCCGGGCTCTGCTCCCCTGCCCTGCGCTGCAGTCCCATTCCCAGGTCACCTGGAGATGCCAGTCACCGGTGCCACAGGAACAAAAGGCTGCCACAATGAGATGCCAATCCCGGGCAGCGCCTGGGTGACGTGTGGGGCTGTGGGGTCACCCCCCCGTCCAACAGGAGCCCGGGGTCCCCACAGATGCCCCACTCCCCCCCCTCCAGAGACAGTAGTGTGCAATGTGTGTGCGAGTCGTGGCTCTGCCAAGCAGCCGAGCTCTGCTTCCAGTGTCGCTTTGGGCCAGCCATGTTCAGTCCTGGTTAGAGTAGCGTCCCCTCCGTCCCCACCGCGCTGCGCCAGCTGCTTCCCACTCCCGGAGTCAGGAACCCCGGCTTGTCTTCGAGCTCTGGGGCTGAGCGGGACCCCGCCGGACCCCCCAGAGCAGCGGGCGAGGTCTCGTTCCCCGCGGTCCTTCCCGAAGTGAGGTGTCCCGTTCTCCACCCTCGTGTTTTGGGGCGTCGGGAGCAGTGCGGAGCTGCTCTGGGAGCACCAGCCCACCAGGAATCCCGGCAGTGCCTGCCAGAGGGGATATCCTGCACTGCCTTTTCCCATGGATTTCAACCGCCCTGCCCTGCTCACCCCCTCGTCCCGCTCCATCCCCGCGCTCGGTGCGTCCCCGTCGGGCGGGGACCTGCAGCGGAGCCGCGCTGTCCCAAGTCCCCGGGCTGTGTTCACACTGCGTGATGTCAATGTCTTAGCGGTCACCCCAGCGCCCCGCAGAGCGTGCGGGCCGGCTCGGACAGCACCGAGCTGCCACCGCCCGGCCCCGTGTCGGGAGCCAGAGCCACCCTGCGCTCCTGTCCCCGCCGCCGTGGCACCTCGTGGCCCGCTGCCCACCCCGTGGCCCGCTGCCCACCCCGTGGCCCGGTGCCCACCCCGTGGCCCGGTGCCCACCTCGTGGCCCGGTGCCCACCCCGTGGCCCGGTGCCCACCCCGGGGGAGGCTGGAGGGGCTGGGGGTGCGCGGGCGCAAGTTTAGCCACCAAAGACCATGATCCTCCACTCTTGCACTCACGGCAGTCCATGTACAGAGCTTGTAGTTTTCATATCGCAGAGAATTTAAGAGCGTTTTTTTATTTTTTGGTCCTTGTACATAACGGATTTAAATAATAAAGAGAGATTCTGAGCTGGTCTGGGGGAAACTCCTTCTGCACCTCCTGCGACCCCACAGCTCCCTGCGCGAGGATGAGGAAGGACAGGGGGATGCTGCAGCACCCCAGCTCCAATCCTGGCCTTCTGCAGAGCCGGGAGCAGCCGGGAAACCCTCGGGAGCCACCGAGGGGCCTCCCCCGGGCCCCACAGACCTGGGTGGCGTGGCAGGAGCCCAAAGACAACGGGTCCCCTCCCGCCCACCCCGGTCCCTTTCGGCCGTGGGCAGATTAATGTTTAATCTTTGGTTATTTTCCCCTTCCATCTCCGTTCCCTTTATTGCCGGGGGGATGGGCGGGTTTGATACCGCCTGATTGCAGAGCAGCACTCGAGGCATTAACGCGATTAAATGAAGGTCAGACAGCGCAAGGTGGGCCGGGGCACCCGAGCCACCGGCACTGCGGCACCGGGCGCGGGTCTCGGGGCACAGCCGTGCCCTGGCCGCGCCCTCGTCACCTGCCGCTGCCCCCCGGGCGGGACACGGTGGCTGGCAGGACGCAGGTGCTGGTGGCCACCGCGCTGTGCCCTGCCCGGTCTCGCCACCGCAGCCCCGTGTTACCGGGCAGCCCCTGCCCGCAGCCCTGAGTTACCGGGGCAGCCTCTGCCCGTTACCGGGACAGTTCCTGCCCGCAGCCCCTGCCCGTTACCGGGACAGTCTCTCGACCCACAGCCCATCGTTACTGGGGCAGCCCCTGCCCGTTACCGGAGCAGTCTCCCTGCCCACAGCCCTGAGTTACCGGGGCAGCCCCGGCCTGCAGCCCCACGTTACCGAATAGTCCTGACCCGTTACCGGGGCAGCCCCACGTTACCGGGGCAGCCCCTGCCCGTTACCGGGGCAGTCTCCCGGCCCGCAGCCCCTGCCCGTTACCGGGACAGTCTCTCGACCCACAGCCCATCGTTACCGGGGCAGCCCTGGCCCGTTACCGGGGCAGCCCCTGCCCGCAGCCCCACGTTACCGGGCAGCCCCTGCCCGTTACCGGGCAGTCCCGGCCCGCAGGACGGTGCTGGCGGTCCCCCCCCCCGCTCCCCGCAGGAATTAGGCTCCGTGACACACGAAGAGCTCAGCGCTGATTAACAGTTTTTCTCTAATTTGATTATTTCAGATTACACCGCAGCCAGCCTGATTAAGGGGGCGCAGGGCAAAAAGAGCATTTTTTGGGAATGAATTCCAGCATATTTCCTATCGCTATTCCAACACTTCCACCGAGTCTGTGTCCATCGGCAGGGCTGGCGGCCGAGGCAGAGAGACCCCCGGGTCACGGCGGAGCCTCGCTGCCCGCCCGGGGCTGGGGGCAAAGCGCCGGGACACGAGGGTCCCGCAGAGCCCCGGAGATGCGGGCAGAGCCCCCCGCCCGTCCCCGGTTCCCCCTCCCCAAGGACACCCGGCCTGGAGCCGGAGGCTGTGCCCCGAGCCCCCGCGTCCCGGTGGCGGCGGGAGGGGGATTAGAGGGCACCACAGAGATTAATTAACGCGGGTGAGCCGGGATTAGGGGATTCGGGGCGGGAGCCAAGCTGCGGGGCGGGGAGCTGCGGGCAGCAGCGGGAAGGTGTCACCGCGTGTGCCCGGCCCGGGTCACCCCTGCGGCGTCCCCTCGAGGGTCGATGGGCAGCTGGACCCCCCGGAACCAGGGGGCACACGGGCGTGTGGTGAAACCCACCCGCCACACCCGTACTGCGCCCTGTACCTGCACAGAGACACACCTGCACAGCACCCACACAGTGTGCGTCACACCCCATAACTGCTCTGCACCCCATAACTGCCCTGTGCCCCATAACTGCTCTGCACCCCATAACTGCACAGCACCCACACAGTGTGCGGCACACCCCATAACTGCCCTGCACCCCATAACTGCTCTGTGCCCCACAACTGCTCTGCACCCCATAACTGCCCTGCACCCCATAACTGCCCTGCACCCCACACCTGCCCTGCACCCCATAACTGCCCTGCACCCACACAGTGTGCAGCACATCCCATAAATTCCCTGCGCCCCATAACTGCTCTGCACCCCACAGCCGCTCTGCACCCTATAACCTCTGTACCCCATAACTGCCCTGCACCCACACCTGCACAGCACCCGCACAGTCTGCAGCACACCCCATAACTGCTCTGTGCCCCATAACTGCCCCACAGGGCGGGGCGGGGGCGGGGCCGGAGGCGCTGTGGAGGTCGCGGGCGGCGGCGGCGGGAGCGTGAGGCGGCACCATGAACGGCGATGGCAGCGGGGCCAGGGCGGCGGCCGAGCTCCAGGAGTTCAACGCCTTCTTCCCGCAGATCGTCCGCGACCTGACGGAGGACATGCTGGGACACGCGGAGGTGGGAGACGCCGTGGCGCGCCTGAAGCAGGTGAGAACGGGAAGGGGGCGGCGGGACCGGGCCGGTGGGACCGGGGCTGGGAAGGGCTGCTCACCTGGCCGCGCTCCCGCAGGTGCTGGAGTACAACGCTCCGGGCGGGAAGTGCAACCGGGGGCTGACGGTGGTGGCCGCGTTCCGGCGGCTGGCGGGCCCCGAGCGGCAGGACCCGGAGAGCCTGCGCCGCGCCCTGGCCGTGGGCTGGTGCATCGAGCTGGTGAGGAGCGGGACCCCCCCGGGAGGATGGGACCCCTCTGGGGATGGCACCCCCCTCTGAGAGTGGGAGCCACCCTGAGGGTGGGACCCCTCTGGGGATGGGACCCCCGGCCCCTGGAGGATGGGCCCCCATGGGGATGGAACCCTCGGGGATGGGACCCCCCCTGAGAGTGGGACCCCTCCTGACCCCCCCCTGGAGGATGGGACCCCCTTCGTGGGCATGGGACCCCCGGCCCCCAGAGGATGGGACCCCCCCCTGGGGCTGGGGAGACTTCCCTGGGAGCTGGGACCCTCTGGGGTTGGGAACCTCTCTGGGGAGGGGATGGGACCCCGGAGGTCTGGGACCCTCAGGGGATGGGACCCCTGGGGCTGTGCCCCCCGGGGGTCCCCCCATCCCTAAGGCAGCCCCCCTCAGTTCCAGGCCTTTTTCCTGGTGGCCGACGACATCATGGACGCGTCGCTGACCCGCCGGGGGCAGCTCTGCTGGTACAAGAAGGTGAGAGCGTTCAGGAGGGGGTGCTCACGGCTGGGGGGTGTCCCCTGGGGGTCAGGAGGCTTTGGGACACCCCCCTGCCTCCCTGGTGCAGGAGGGCATCGGGCTGGACGCCATCAATGACGCTTTCCTGCTGGAGTCCTCGGTGTACCGGCTGCTCAGGAGCTATTGTGGGCAGCAGCCCTACTACCTGCACCTGCTGGAGCTCTTCCTGCAGGTGAGCCTGCCTCCCCAAGCCCTTGCTGAGTTTTTGGGCACGTTTTCTGATGTGTTCCTGAAATTCCTGGGCACGCTCTGCCTTTAGAGCCAAAGAGGAGCTGAAGCAGGGTGTGGGCTCTGCGCTGTGGGGTTGGGATGCTCCTGGAGGGCTGGGTGCATGGATTGTGGGGTCACGGATTGCTTTGGGTTGGATGGGACCTTTGAGATCATCTTGTTCCACCCCCCTGCCATGGGGACACATCCCACTGTCCCAGGTTGCTCCAAGTTCTGTCCAGCCTGGCCTTGGGCACATCCAGGGGCATCCACAGCTGCTCTGGGCACCTGTGCCAGGGCCTCACACCCTCACAGGGAATTTCTCCCATATATCCAACCTAAATTTCCCCTTTTCCAGTCTGAACCCATTCCCCTTGTCCTGTCACTCCAGTTCCTGATGAACAGTCCCTCTCCAGCTTCCCTGGAGCCCCTTCAGGCCCTGCAAGGTCTGAGGTCTCCACACAACCTTCTCTTCTCCAGGCTGGACATTCCCAGGCCTCCCACTGTCCCAGGCTGCTCCAAGCCCTGTCCAGCCTGGCCTTGGGCACTGCCAGGGATCCAGGGGCATCCACAGCTGTGCCAGGGCTGCCCACCCTCCCAGCCAGAAATTCCTTCCAATATCGAAATCACTGATCTATCACAACCATCACCCTTTATCTTACTCTCCCCGTGCAACACATCATCCTCCTTATTTTTTACAACCCCTTTGAGCACTGGAAAGCTGCAGTGAGGCCACAGATCCTTTCCTTCCTCTGCAGACAGGCTACCAGACCGAGCTGGGGCAGACTCTGGACCTCATCACTGCTCCGGTTTCCCAGGTGGACCTGAGCAGGTTCAGCGAGCAGCGGTACGAGGGGCAGAGCCCGGGGCTGCTTCTTGGGGTGTCCTGCAGAGGGTGGCCCTGGGGCTGCTTCTTGGGGTGTCCTGCAGAGGGTGGCCCTGGGGCTGCTTCTTGGGGTGTCCTGCAGAGGGTGGCCCTGGGGCTGCTTTTTGGGGTGCTCTCCAGCCCCTGCCCTGCAGAGACTCAGCCTGGGGCTGGTTTTTGGGGTGCCCTGCAGCCCCTACATTGCAGAGGGTGGCCCCGAGGCTGGTTTTTGGGGTGCCCTGCAGCTCCTACATTGCAGAGGGTGGCCCGGGGCTGGTTTTTGGGGTGCCCTGCAGCCCCTGCCCCCCGGGGCTCACCTGCTTCCTCTGGCACAGGTACAAGGCCATTGTGAAGTACAAGACAGCGTTTTACTCCTTCTACCTGCCCGTGGCTGCAGCCATGTACATGGTGAGTGCTGGGAGCAGCTCAGGAGGGGCCTCACCTGCTGCCAGCCTGGCCTGGGGGACAGGTCCTGGAAGGCTCAGTCCCCAGGTCCTGGAAGGCTTGATCCCCATGTCTTGGAAGGATTCACTTTTTCCCTGGTCCTGGAAGGATTTATCCCCAGCTCCTGGAAGGCTTTACTTTAGCCCAGGTCCTGGAAAGCTTTACTTTATCCCCAGATCCTGGAAGGCTTGATCCCTATGTCTTGGAATGCTTTACTTTAGCCCCAGGTCCTGGAAGGCTTGATCCCCTGGTGGTGGAAGGATTTACTTTTTCCCTGGTCCTGGAAGGCTTTAGTTTATCCCCAGGTCCTGGAAGGCTTTATGCCAAGGTCCTGGAAGGCTTTATCCCATTTCTGGT